GCGGTGGGTGTGGGGGGTGGGCCTCCCCCCGCCGGCCATCTGGCCAGCGGCGGGTAGAACCCCCCCCAAAAATGGGGGACCCCTGGCAAACCGGGAGGGGGGTTGGCAACCCTATCTACCATAGTGTTTTTGCCCAAAACCCAGAGTGTCTCCCTGATGTGCCTATGTCACTTCTGGGTCACACTGAAGTCATGTAAGCATGTCACTGAAATGTTGGGTGTTCCTCCCTCGGTTTTTGGGCTAATACCCCCCTGCCAGCCAGCTGATCCATGGCGGAGAGGTAGGGCCTGGCAGCAGGGGACCCCCCCCCCTCCCACTGGGGGGTCTGGCATCCCTTGGAGACTGCCATGGGAGCAGCTTACCCCACCGGGCAGGGTGATCTGTCCCAGAATGGACTTTTATCACAAGAAAACTATTAGTGGCAATCCTTTCCCCCAAATATGCAAAAAAAACAGAGCTTTCTGGTCAGCCAAGTAAATGAATGGAGATCTCGAGTAAATGTAAGAAAACAAAACATGAAGGTTAAATAATAGGAGTGACAAGTTCCTCTTTCCTCATTTATGGAAATCTCAGCTGCTTTATCATCCAATCTTGGAAGAAGTCCAAGCATAGCTGCCTTTGTGTGTGTGTGTGACAGAGTTTGACTTCCTGGCATTCAAAGAAAAGTTTTGAAAAAGCATGGGACAAAATATAACAACACAGATAATAACAAACATGCAAAATAAATTCACAATAGCCGTTCTTTTTCTTCCCATTGTTCAGGGCCTGTGCATCTGCCACCGAAATCTCATTTTGTCTATCAGCTACGTGCCCGAGAGAAACCTCCCCCATTTTGTCTCTGAAAGTGGATTCCAAAATGCTTTCTTCTCCATTAGGAGAGACATACAAGGATGTGGCTTTTTTCTGCTTTAGCATCAGGGTTAACCTCAGTGTCTTCCTCCTTTGGCATGTGGCAGGAATGGGCCAGTTCTTGACTTTACAATAGCCAGGGTGGTGTAGCTGTTCAAGAGTCAGACTAGGATCTGGGAGACCCAGGTTTGAATCCTTGTTCTGCCATGGGAATTTATGGGCCAGTCACACACTGTCAGCTAGGGTTGCCAGCTGTAGGACAGGGAAATGCTAATAGGCACCATCACTTCTGGGTTTGTTTGTCATCGCATCTGTGTGATGGTCTAGGATTGCCCTGATACTCTACAATTTACCATAGAATTTTGGTGTAATCCTGGAGTGTTGCACCAATGCAACGAATTCACTTCTGTTGTGGGGATAAAATGGAGGAAAGAACGATGTAAGCAGCTTTGGGCCCCCATTAAGGAGATCGGTATGATATCAATGAAATAAATGAATAAATTGCTGGGATGCCAGCAAATTTTCACTGTAAATAAAAGGACACAACTATTCAGCTACTTATCCTAATGGACCAAACCTCCTAGTTGGCATTTAGGAATGGAATTCTCCACCAAGGACTCCACAAATCTTGCAGGAAAGACCCTGTGAGTTATGTTCAACAAAAACAGTCTGAGGCTGGCTATTTGTATGGCTTCTGAACATTGTAGGTGACATGTTTAAGGAAGTACAAATGTGTTTCCTGCCATTCTTCTGCTTCCAACTTGTATTTGCCGTGATCATACTTTTTTTGTAGTGTATCTGGGGACGCCAGGAGCCCAGTATTTTAAAAGCCTCCTCTTAAAGCTTTGGTCTTATGCCCGCTCACCATAGGAGTAAGCCCCACTGAATTAGTGGGCTTCAGCTCTTTGTAAACCATGTAACAGGATTGGGCTATTGCTCTGTATCTGCTGCTGCATGGATGAGGGGGAAGAGGCAGCTGAGTTCTTTATGTCTGGTTAAGCTGGGTGTTGTGTTGCAGAAACCCTCCAATGACAAGTGTGCCAGCCATTCCACCATGCTCTCACCTTGGATGCAGCATGTGCACATCTGAGCCATTGCAAGGCCATCAAGCAGACGCAGGGGATAGTGACATAAATCAGCACCTAAAGAGGTGTGTGATTTTGCTTCAGTGTAGACACAGCACAATCCAGTGGAAACTGGAAAACCTGCACCCCTAAATACTCCACCAAGTTTCCTCTTTCCTTCTCCCTCTGCCACTGCATGCCCGCATGTCTGCCATATCCTGCCCCACTGCCCTTAACGCCCGTGTGTCTTTTCCCTCTCGTAGGTACAAGCAGGTGCTCCCTCTCTGCCGTAAATCTCCCTAAACACGTGGACTCTATAATCAACAAGCGCCTCTCCAAATCTTCCGCCACCCTCTGGAATTCACCCAGTAGAAGTAAGAGACCCCTCTGGGGGCACCCCTCAATGCCAGGGAGAAGGGTGGGGTAGGGGGTAGTACTAATTCTGAGTGCACATCCCTTCCTGTCTGAGAAGGTCAGGGTGGGGCGAGTCTGTTTAAAAACTGAGAAAACCCATTTTAAAAGATACATATAATGCAATACAGCCGGGGCCAGGAGTGCCGGGTGCCATTCCACACAAGCAAAGGCGATAGTGGGAATTCAGCCGTCAGGGGATGTTGGCTTTCATGCAGGTTGCAAGCTCTTGTGATTACAGATAAGCTAAAAAAATGTGTAGGTGGGGTGTGTGCAGTTTCCAGGCTGAGTGTCAGTGGGATTTCTAGTGGCCAGTGGGAGGGCTTCATCCCCTGCATGTCTTTTGGGTCCCCCTTAAGGCTACCAGAAATACAATAAAATATGCAAAACAGACAGGTTTGTCCAGACAGGTTTAATTTGCATAATGTATACATAGTGTCAAATTCTGGTTTCCATCACGTGGAACTTGGACTATCATGCTGCAAAATTTTGAGACATCTTTGTGCAGGATATTTAGCACTGGGATACCCACAGCCCTCAATGTGAGCTAGTGAAATGGAGTGACTTTATATATATATATTTCATCCCTACATCCAGAAGGGATTGGTATTATCTCAAAGTGAGCAGCACTTGTTTGAGGGGCTCTGTCTTTTTAGGGCTTTAGATCTTCCCTTTCCTGGACATCCAGAATAAGGATCCCCATCAAAAAGCAAACAATGGAGTCCTGCATTTCCAACTCTACTTATGGGGAGAGAATAAGGGCCCTTAATGCCAAGGAGGGATTTCCCCCACCCCTCTTGTGCCAAGCAGCTCCCATATCTGCTATCTGGGGACTATTTTCACGCTTTATATTCTTGCCACACAGCTGCGGCTTTTTCCTAGGCATGGAAGAGGTTTCTGCTCCTTCCCAGTTCCCCATAGTTAACTCCAAGTTTGGCAGCTGCCCGAGCACTCAGTCTTGGTCCCTGCGGCCAAGCTGCCTTGCTCCCCAGATGATGGGTGTGAAGGTTGGATGTTAACTCCCAAGCACTTAAAAGAGAACAAAAATTTTCTTGTTCTTGCTTGGGGAGGCACCTGTTGCTGTTCTGCTACCAATGCGTGTGAAGCTGCTTTATAGTGAGACGAGTTCTTTTGCTTTAAAAAAAGAAAATGCTCCATGGATGCTAGGTGGTGTCTCAGAAAAAGCGAGGCCATCTTAGCTCAGATTTGTGTTAGCGACTCGTGTCGGGCAGGAATGAGAGTTTATTGGGGTGAGAGAAAGGAAGGCCACCGATCGAATTTGTGGATGGTGGTGGAGAAATGCTTCAGGAGGCCCCAGTCCGACGGACTTTGTGCCCCCTCTCTCTCGTCCCAGCTGGGGGAAGGGAGAAGGATAATGTACTCAGCAACGATATAATGTATAGAAACAGTGTCACTAGAAACCTCTCTTCCACTTGCTCTTCATGGGTGGGAGCAGCTGTCGGTGCTGGGGCAGTGCTGAGTGGATAGTGACATGTCCCCCAAAGGGGGCAGAAACTAACAAGATGGAACTCTCTGCTGTGGTTGCCCAGTGCCTGGCAACTGGCGAAGAGGGCTGTGGACAGCGATATGATAGGCTGCCTCATCACATCACTTCCAATTTTTAAAAAAGGGAAATGACATGGGTTAGCTCTAGGAATCACTGGAAACTCTATGGTAGTGCTGCTTTAGGAATTGCCAGAAACCAGCAATTCCAGCTACCCTGTATCGCCCCCCCTTTTTTTGCCAAAAGTGACGTAACATTGCAACTGGCATTTTTCTTCCTTTTGGGAACAGGTGATCTTCTTCGTGGTCTCTGTGCATCACACCTCTGGGATATAGTGCGCCTGTGCCAACCTCAATCGGTTCCTCTTGAAAGCGAAAGGGATTTTCGTGCCTGCTCCCCCGTCATGCGCCAGCCCCACTGCGCATGACTAAGGGAGGGGCACTACAATCCTGCCAGTTCTCTTCTGACCGCCGTGCTGGTAGGATCTTCTCCACTTCGGTCGATAAAAAAATTGGGCTCTAGGCCTGTTCCTTGTTTTTTCTTTTTGTTTATTTTGTTAAGTGAAAGGGCTTTGTTTTTTCAGATTTATTTCCTTGGACTCTGTAGTGTGTTGCCCCCCCCCCCCCGGCCTATGGCCAAGAGGTGGGGTTTCTTTAACGGTGCCTTTGTGTGGGAGTAAATATTGCGCCCCCCTCCCCCCAGATGCGCACTCACTTTGTTATTTCGTGCCTCGGGGAATTGCACCGAGTGGACTCTTCTGCTCCTTGTGCGAAGTTCTCTAGCAGGAAGAACAGATCTGCCAGACTTCGTGTCGCGTTTCGGAGTTTGCGCTTTCACCGATATCATCAGGACACTTCAGGATATGCGTCAGTGTCGACTGCCACCTCAGCATCGACGGGTTCCCGATACCGACGCATATAGATGTCGACCGCCCGATGCTTATGCTTGGCCCAGACATCTTTGTCTGATGCCTATACTCTTTCCATAATGCAGGGAAGGCAAGGATGCTCGGCCAGTCAGGCTAAAAGAGCATAAGACAACTCCCCCTGTGCAAACTCCGCTGACCCCTCGGAGGGCCATGGCCCTGAATCCTATGGGGGCTGCTTCACTTGACTCTCTGTGCCGAGAGCAGCCACAAGGTGCACTTTGGTCGCCTTCACTGCGTCCTATCCAGCTCGCTGACAGAGCAGGATATGGACTTCTCACGGATCTCCTGGTCCTCCAGTGTCAAAAACTGGCACTCCGACTGCGGAGCTGAAGCATTTGGTCCATCTGTCACTGCCCCGAGCTGACAATTGAGAATGGCCATCGGCACCGATACACCGCCACCGCCACCCCCCTGGGAAGGGGCTGTGGCGATACCAGTATGGGGCCTTTCCCTTTACGGGGGGTATGCCATGGTTCCCAGCCCCACTAGGGAATGGGACCGTCAGTCTACCCTCCTGGTATCGAGATCCTCCTTAGACACCGGAGTTTGCAAGGACCCAACCATCGAGGGTGATGGGCAAACCTCCCAAGCCATCGCACCCGGCTATTTCTAATTTTAAGATCCATCGATTCCGTCTCCATCGGTACCGATGCTGTCTGCTTCTCCACACGCTTCCTTCCAATCAAGGGATGAAAACCCTGATCCTCCATTGGAACCCGCGCCACCTTAACAAGTGGGCGGTGATCTCCCAAACTCCCTTCGGAAGACCTTAAATCCCTGGAGGTTTTTTGCCGAACGGATGGCTAACATGCTCACTCTGTCTGCAGGGCAATCTCTGCCCACTCTGACAGATTCCGTGTTCGATATTGTCCAGATGGTCACCTCTACCCCATCTCGAGCCGGAGGGCAGATCATTCAATGTAAGGTACAGGAGCAGGGTGCTAAAACTTCTGTTTACCCACCTTAACCCTATTCTGTCGTAACACCTCTTCCTTCAAGGGTAGACGCAGTTGTTTGTTTGCGAGAGTTTTTGGCATCGGGACCTCAATCTACATGGCATGTGTGGGGAGTTATCAGTCTGCTCTCTGGGAGCAGATGTCTGAATTTCTTGTTACCCTCCCTGGCTCGCAGGTTTCAAAGAAGGGAATGCTTCTGACTAAGCATCAGCTTAACGCGGCTCAGCACACGTTGGATGCGGCCGCCAAAACACTACATCCACAACCACCCTCTGACCCCTGACCTGGACAGCCCAGGCTGTCCTGATCTTGTTAGATCTTGGAAGCTAAGCAGGATTGGCCCTGGTTAGTATTTGGATGGGAAACTACCATGGCATGCCAGGGTCGCTACACAGAGGCAGGCAATGACAAACCCGGTTCAACCATGTCGATTCAATGCCGATTACCCTTGATGCGTTGGGCCTGAGGGTGAACCTCAAAAAGGCCAATGCTCCTCCCGTCATTGAGGGTCCAGTTTATTGGAGCAATTTTGGATTCGTCTGTCTGTTGAACCTTTCTCCCACCAATAGGGGGGAGGCATTATCGCTCTCATCCACCTGATAGAACACAAGGAGATGCGTTAGCACTGCAGATCCAGCAGCTATTGGGTCTGATGGGTACTCTTTGGATTAGTGTTGACCCGCCTGGAGTTCGGTCTTAGTGTTTTTCTTTAAGAACCTTTTTGGCCACCACCTACGCCAATCATCCTGTGGTGGACGGTTATTCCATTTTTTCCTCACTCGCAAGCAAGGCAGTTCTAACGGGTTTCACTCAGCTCTTTCCTCTGGCTAGTGGGCCAACTCCCTTCTGGGACTTACATCTAGTGCTGTCCAGACCAACAAACAACTGTTTGTGCCCATGGCCGAGTCTAGTCTGCAGCTTCTCTCGTGGAAGACTGTTTTTTCTTGTAGCCATTACTTCAGCATGACAAGTGAAAGCATTGTCTGCACCCCGTTGCGACTCTCCATATTGGTTTTTCTACTTGATGGTGTCACCTTGGACTCAGGTGTCTCTTTCCTGCCCAAGGTTGTTCCAAGTTCTGTTTGCGAGCTTGCATTGCTCTTCCAATGTTTTCCCGTCCCCTACGAGTGACGATGAATGCCGGCTTCATGCTCTGGATGTTAAGAGAGCTACACTCTTCTACCCTGATGGAACAAGGTCATTCCGTCGGTCATTGGCCTTGTTCGTCTTTTATAGCACACCTGTGCAAGGAAGAGGTTTCTTCGCAACGTCTATCTAGGTGAATTGTGGAACCATCTACTGTGTTACTTCCTGGCTAAATGGCTACTCCCGGGCCCGCTCCGAGCACTTGTAACTGGGCAGTGGGCTTGTTACAGCCTCCCTGGGAGGTCCGCCGCTCACTGACATCTGACAAGCAGCAGCATGGGTCACCCACCCACGCCCCACATGCTCGTGAAGCTTTATGCTCTGGGTGGGCGTCTTCATTGACGCTCCGTGGTGGGACGGGCAGGGTTGCAGGCGGCGCAAGTCTAGGACCTTCAGCTCCCTCCTCCGGTGGGGTTGTTTACTGCTTGCATATCTCCCAGAGGTGTGATGCACAGAGACCACGAAGAAGATAAACAGGTTGCTTACCTGTAACCGAGGATCTTCGAGTGGTCATCTGTGCATTCACACCACCCGCCCTCCTTCCCCTCTGCTTTCGGTCCTCTCCTCTTGTCTTACTCTGAGACTGATTGCAGCGGTCAGAAGGAACTGGTGGGATTGTCGTGCCCCTCCCTTAGTCATGCGCAGTGAGGCCGGCGCGTGACGGGGGAGCGGGTGCGAAAATCCCTTTCGCTTTCAAGAGGAACCGATCGAGGTCGGCGCAGGCGCACTATATCCCAGAGGTGTGAATGCACAGATGACCACTTGAAGATCCTCAGTTACAGGTAAGCAACCTGTTTTTACATCACTGCATATATATTTAGAAAATGTGTATGCTGCCTCTCTGTCCTAATTGGGATAGCCCAGGCTAGTTCAATGTTCCTGATCTTGGAAGCTAAGCAGGGTGGGCCCTGGTTAATACTTGGATGGAAGACCACAAGGAAGCCCAGGGTCACTGTGCAGAGGCAGGCAATGGCAAACTACCCCTGTTTGTCTCTTTTCTTGAAAACCTTACAGCAGGGGTCCCTAACATTTTGAGTCTGTGAGCACGTTTGGAATCCTGACACAGGGTGGTGGGCCCAATCACAAAATGGCTGTTTCAGGAGGCAAAGCCAACCACAAAATGACTGCCACAGGACGTCGAGCCACACATATATAGAAGAAGAAGAAGAGAAGAGATTGGATTTATACCCCGCCCTTCACTTGGAGTCTCAGAGCGGCTTACAAACGCCTTTCCCTTCCCCTCCCCACAACAGACACCCTGTGAGGTGGGTGGGGCTGAGAGAGCTCTTGACAGAAACTGCTCTTTTTCAAGGACAGCTGTGCCAGAGCTTGTGACTGACCCAAGGTCACATCAGCAGGTGCAAGTGGAGGAGTGGGGAATCAAACCCGGTTCTCCCAGATTAGAGTCCGCACACTTAACCACTACACCAAACTGGCTCTCACCAGTTTGGCCTAGAGGTTTGTTTCCTAGAGGTTCTCACCATATAGGCCTAGAGGTTCCACAATTCAGCTGCAACTTGATGGCAAAAAAAAAAAGCTGCCTCTCTAGACCTTCCTGAGGCAGGTCACAGCCCCAGTTCCTTAAATCTTTTAATTGAAAATGGCAGAAATCGGACCTTCAAAGGGCAAAGTACATTACCCACTGAGGTTCAAAGACAGTGCCTCCTCCACACCCCAGCTAGGGCTCTCAGGGCCTGGCTATCCTAAGCAGGTCAAGCAACGCTGGATCTCTCTTGGCTCCTCTCTCTGCTGCTGCTGCTGCTCAGAATAGTATTTCCTCCCATAGCTGTTTTTGTTTCCCAGTTGCTTAGTGATGATTAAAAATACCCTGGGCATCTGAACGAGATGCCCGGAGGAGTCTAAGGGAAGGGCCTGTGTCTGAGCCAGCCTGTTGAGAGCCCCGGCAGGGATTGTTCATGGGAGTGGAATTGGGGCGGTGCCCCACAGCAGGGTCAGTCAGACAGTCATCCTTACACATTCCTGTGGGGTGTGTGTTTTGCTTTGCAGAGATCCCGTCACTTGATAACTATTATTTTTTTAATTCACCAGTGTTTTCTTGATGATTTTTGATAACGGCGGTTCATATGACGATGAGATATATTTGTGCCATGTCCTGTCCCCAAATCCCCAATTTCCTGTCACCCAAGTCACAGTTGAGGATGTCTGTCTGTCTTTGTTATCTAATCTTTTTTTTTTTTTTTTTAAATGGTGGCTTTATAGCAGCCCTGGGATAGAGAACAGGACCTAAGACATCTACCTTGTGGTAATGGCAAAATGGCAGCCCCTGAAAATTAGGAATTATTTCTGTGAACTGTTCTGGTTCGGACAGATCTTCCACGAGGAGAAATCCTGCCGTTGTGAGGCAGCAACTGACCCTCTGTATCCTCAGCTGTGTGGAGTGTCTGGGTTTCACTCCTACACAGTGAGTAGGACACAGCTGTCTCTAACGCTGCTTCCGGCCGCCATCCTCATGTTGACGTTTTCTGAGGCAGCCAAGGGCCACAGTCTCAACATGGATCAAGATGGTTAGCAAGATTGTCTGCCATTCCGTGAAAGTCAGTGATGCATTTCCAAACTGCCACAGAGGCCCTTCATTTTCGGGACCTAAACTGAGGAGCACCACGCTGACCTGGATGGCCCAGCCTAGCCTGTTCCTATCAGATCTCGGAAGCGATGCAGGGTCAGCCTTGGGTTAGTCCTTGGATGGGAGACCACCACCAAGGAAGTCCAGGGTGGCCACGAAGAGGCAGGCAATGGCAAACCACCTCTGTTTGTCTCTTGCCTTGAAAACCCCATGAAGGGTCGCCATAAGCTGGCCATGACTTGGTGGCACTTTCCACCACCCAGCTCGGACTCTGCAGCCAGTGCTTCCAGCTTCCCTTCTCCCTCGAGAGGTCGCTTGTTCCTCAACAGCTAGTCTTGGCAGGTTTGGGGGAGACAAAATGCCTTGAGGACAAACTCTGCAAAGGAAAGTCAGTGGGGTTGGAGACATCTCCCTCTCAAGAGAATTTCTTTGTAAACTGGGGAGCCAAACACCTCAGTGAGTGCTGAGACTCCCCTATCTGAGGGCCGGATGGGCAGATCTTGAAACCTGCCTCACTAGAACTGTCCCCTCTCTCTTTCCATCACCAGACCGCAGCCTCCAACTCAGCCCCTGGGAGAGCAGCATCGTTGACCGGCTCATGACGCCAACGCTGTCCTTCTTGGCACGCAGTCGCAGCGCCGTGACGCTTGCCGGCAATGGCAAAGATCAAGGTATGTAGGGTGGAAAGGTTGAAACTCTATGGGGAGAGGGGGTGCCCTACCTTGAGACGTCCGGAGCATGGCTGAATGGGCATTTGAACCCCAAGTCCTTTTTGCGTCCAAACTCAACTCTTCCCTTGCAGGCATTCTTGTTCTTGTCCCACTCCTAAGTCCAAACTCTGAATTCTTCGCCTTCTGTGCATATATTTAAACTGTGGGGGGAAAGAACCACCTTTCACTTCTTTGTGGCCTCTGTGCCTGCCTGGAGCAGCAATTTCTAGAGCCCTCTGTCCCCCTCAGTAGAAGTCTGTCTCAACCAGCACATTCATAAAGGGGAAGATTTGTGTCTTCTGGCTCTGCTCTTTCTCCTTTGCTGCAAAGCAATGGTTGCCTTTTTATGCTGTGTTGTGTACTAAATCCAGGGCTATTTTTGGGCAGGAACACACAGGAACGGAGTTCCGGCTGGCTCCCAAGTTGACCACGCCCAGCAGGAACTCATTAGCATAATAGGCCACGCCCAACACCAGAAACTCATTAGGATTGGCTACTTTAGGGGTGTGTGGCCTAACATGCAAAGGAGTTCCTGCTACAAAAAAGCCCTGGGTTTTGACAACAAACAAGGTAAACAGAATAAGAAGCAAAAGGTGGGTGTGGCTGGATGACTATACTTCTGGTAACATGGGGGTGCAGCCTAATATGCTAATGAGCTATGCTCTCATGGGTGTGGCTGGATATGCTAATGAGTTTCTGTTGTTGGGTGTGGCATATTATGCTAATAAGTTCCTGCTGGGCTTTTTCTACAAAAAAAGCCCTGACTAAATCTATCTAAAAGGTGTTTGTATTGTTGAAGCTGAGGAGAAAATGGGATAAGAAATAAGGGGAGGGAGGCATTGTGTGTCTTGTTAGCTTTCCTTCCTAAGTTTCATGCCTGTTCTTTGGTCTCATCCCTGATGAGATAAGGCCTGGGCTCTGTAGTTGGCCTGCTGACCCCCTGTCTCTTTATTCCCCCCCCCCCGCAGCAGTACCTGTGTGCCCTCGCTCAGCTTCTGCCACCCCCCTCAGCCCCTGCAATAACCAGCGCCTGCACCACCGCTGCTCAGAGCGACGGCAGCCTGCAACCAGCAGCCCAAACATGACACCCCGCCGCAAAGCTGACGCCTCCCCTGTAAGTGACCATGTGCCCTCTTTCCCCATAACAGCAGCTCTATCTGGGTGCTACACGAGGAAAGGAACCCTAATGCTCCCCAACTGGGCTACACTGCCTCTGAACGTGGAAGCTGCATTTTAGCAGCTGAGTCGTTTTCAAGTCTGGAGATGTCATTGCAAAGCCCTTGGCCCTGCTTTTATCCACACATCTTTGTCTCTGACTGCGGTTCCCTTGTCTTCCTCTCACCTCATCCTCAGAAAAAGAAAGAGAAGAAGGACAAGGAGCGGGAGAATGCCCAAGAAAAGAGTGCCCTTGCCCTACACAAACGCCAGTCTATGCCCGCTGGACAGGCTCGCCAGCTGCGCACTCCTGAGAGCAGGTAGGAGCAACAGAGCCATGCTCCTCCCCCGTGTTAAAAGTTTCCTGCCATAGCAGCAGTGACAGTTTCCGCCAGTGATTACATTGCAAGGGGGTATCAAAGCCCCTTGTTTGGAGAATGTGGAAATAATCTCATATTTGCTCCCATAGAGAGGGTGGGGGTTGTGGCTCAATGGTAGATCATCTCCGTACATGCCGAAGGTCCTAGGTTCAATTTCCAGCATCTCCAGTTAAAAGAACCAGGTAGTAGGCAGGTAGTAGGCAGTGTAGAGCCACTGCCAATCAGAGAAGACAATGGTGACCCTGACAGACCAAAGGTCTCACTCTGTAGAAGGTGGCTTCCATGCTCATGTGACAGTTCGTATGGGGAGGGGCCTCAGCTTAGTGGCAGAATACCTCCTTGGCATGCAGAAGACCCCAATTTCAATCTTTGGCTTCTCTAGCCAAAAGGATCAGATAGGAGTGAATGGGGAAGACCTCGTGGAATTCAAAGGTGGAATCAGCTGCCTAGGGAGGTGGTTAGCCCCCCTTCACTGGCAGCTTTCAAGAAGAGGCTGGACGAATATTTGTCAGAGATGCTTTAAGTTGGTCCTGCATTGGGCAGGGGGTTGGACTAGATGGTCTGGACGGCCCCTTCCAACTCGATGATTCTACCTGCAACCCTGGAGAGGCGTTGCCAGTCAAAGTAGACAGTACTGACCTTGACAGACTTGGTATAAGGCAGCTAGGGAGGGGTCGTGGCTCAGTGGCACAGCATCTGCCTGCATACAGAAGGGCCCCAGGTTCAATTCCTGGCACCTCCAGGCAAAAAGGATTGAAGTCGCAGGTGAGACGGAAGTCCCTGCAGTGTTTCCTGTTTCCAGTCAGAATGTACCACGGGTCTGACTCAATCTAAGGCAGATGCCTGTGTCGCCTGTAGTCTTGGCCCACACCAGCTGCCAGGGCTACAGCCCATAATAGGATAGAACTGCTTGGCCGGTGAGGCCAAGCCATTTCATCGGCCTCCTGACACTTTTGTGCCTATCCTCCAGCAGCCCAGGCCACAGGCCGAGGCCTGCTTCTCCAGCTACTGCCAAGCAACGCCCAGCCTCGCCTAGCACAGGCCCCAGTTCTCCACACCGGCCAGGCCTGACCCGCAGCGCCCGCTCTTCACCCAAGGTGAAACCCCGCAAGGAGCACAGCAGCCAGCCAAAGGTCCCAAAGGGTGAAGAGAAGGAACGGAAAGTGTCCTCCCCTGCTCTGACTGAGACCCCCAAGGTCACAGGGGGCCCTGAAGTGACACCAGGTGAGACGTTTGGGGTACAGGGGTTTGGAAGCTTTGCGTTTTATCTCAGAGGTCACAGACAGGTTAGAAAATGTCGACAGAGGTTTGAGCCCCAGGATTATCTCCTGGGAGGGAAGTGAAGCTACAGCAAAGGATCTATAAGCCTGACCTTCTGGGATTTCCCCACCTTCTTTGTGAGGTAGTCTGATCTGTATGTCTGGGGCTCTACAGATCCCACGAACCCTTCTGGCACGGCCAGTCCAGTGCCTGCCCCTCCTGCCGCCACACCAGGCAAACCCACGGCAGGCACCACAGACCGAGAAGAGGCTGCCCGGCTCCTGGCTGAGAAACGGCGCCAAGCACGGGAGCAGCGGGAACGGGAAGAGCAAGAACGCCAGGAGCAGGAGGAGTGGGAGCGGTGAGTCCTCAGGCGCAGCAGATTCCACAGGGTTCTAGCCCTCAAGTGTCTGGGAAAGGGGGAGAGGAAATCTTGAAACTTCTTGCCTGGCACCATTCCGTTTTCTTCCCCTACTGTCATTTTGGCTCAACCATTTACTTGTTCCCAGTCTCTAGCTGTTCCCTCTTCATTTTCTCCCAAGTTCTTGCTTCCTGCTAACCAGTCTTTGGATCCTGCAACCCCCCCTTTTAGATGACCGTGAGAAAGCCGTAGACAAGCTTGTTCTTCTCTTCTCTCTCCTGCATGGCGTAACAATAACTGGATTCTCACGATGTCTCAGTATTACGAGTGTATTCTTACTGTGCTTAAAAAAAATCAAAAGTGTAGATAGTTTCCAGTTGCAAAACAAGGCCGATCACTTTGGTGAAGAATTTGGATTACTTTCAGTGCATGGCAATGACAGCTAGCTAGTTAGGGGTAGCAAGTTGGTCTTAGGTAGGCTCATAAACCTGCTTTCAGGGTCTGCAACTCAGAAAACTATGATGGTGCCTGTGTGCATGTGCAGAGTGGACGTTCTCTCCTTGTGGAGGAGCCACAATCAGGCCTTCGGACTTGAGTCAGGGGCTTCCAGGGCAGATGGTGGATATAGTAGCCAGATGGTGGAATGTGCCATCAGTTCACAGCCAATGTATGGCAACTCCATAGAGTTTCCAAGGAAGAGACCTTCAGAGGTGGTTGTGGACTAACTGTTGTGGACTAACCAGGGCTAACCCGGCTTAGCTTCCAAGAACTGACAAGACTGGGCTACCCTGGGCCATCCTGGTAAGGGTGTTTCATCCTCAGTGGGAGTTTTACTGCGATATAGACGGCTCTTACCCCAGCTGAATGAGCCATCTCTCTTGCCTGCCATGTGCTCTCCATTCTTGTTCTTGCCCTTTAATTGGGATGAAACAGTTCACATGATAGGTGTTTGTCACGGCTCAGCTGGGGTGTCACCTGACGCTGCCACCACTCTGGATTTAGGATCCCTTGAGAAGGCCCAGAGCACCCTCCCAAGACCTTCAGACCTCCCTTTTGGCCGAATAACAGGCAGAGTACAAGGAAAAGGTTTATTTTTACAGGAGGTCAGTCAAACAAGGTGCAGGAATAAATAACAGTAAGTGGGTGAAAAGAAAAGAAATCAAATGCCCTAACGCGTCTAAATATATACTGTCCCCCAGTTCTCTTCTTCCCTATTGGTCAAAATCGGCACCAGAACTTCACAAGGCCTTCTGGGGTTTGTAGGCCCAGCCTCCCCTACTGCTAGCCAGACTCCCTGGGCCTAGTAGACATCTGGTGGCACAGCCCATATCGTGACAGTGTTGTTTGGTACCTGGCAGGCGGCTAGCAGAGGAACGGGCTCAGCAAGAAGCTAAGGAACGGCTCCAGCAGCAGGTAGAGCTAGCCCGGCTGGAGGAGGAGCGACGGCGGAAAGAGGAGGAGCGTGTCCAGCGAGAGGAGCATGAAGCGCAGGAGCGGGCCAGGGCTGAGCAGGAAGAGCAGGAGCGGCTGCAGAAACAGGTGTGTTTGCTGGTGTGGAGGGAACAGAAGCACGGGCTGGTGGGAGGAGGACTGATGAGAGGTGGGTGTTTCTGTTATCGTGCAGTTAACAGCGTGCCAAGCCAAATGCGCCCACCAGGGATATTTAGTGCAGCACTGGGAGCACCTACTTGGGACCGCAAAGGGATGGGTTGATAAAGGGATGGAGGTCTTCTGGAATTACAACTGATCTCCTGTCTGCAGAGAACAGGTCTCCTGGAGGAAATGGCAACTTCTGAGAGCAGACACCTGTGGCATCACATCCCCACTGAACTCTCCCATCCCCAAGCACCATCCCCATATCTCCAGGAATTTCCTGAGCTGGAGCTGGCAACCTGATTTGTAGCGTTCCTTGTTAATGTCTGGAAGATAGGAAACAAGATGGGGTGTCACTGCCATCTAGTGGTGGAAATGGGTTCTGCTTTCTTGGATGGAAATTGTGCACATCTGCTTTTCCTACCAATTGAATAGAGATTTTTTTGCTGCAAAACTTTATTCCGGCATATCTGTTGATCCATGAAGGGGACACCTGTGAAAAGGACACCTGTGAAATGTAGGCCCTGATAACTACTCTAGTACAGGCTTCCCTGGAGCCACTAGGCCTCCCTAGAGCCTGTAGGCCACACTACTGTAGGCCTAGGATCATGACAGCAGGGGTCCCAAGCAGTGCTCCCTCTAAGCTGTGGAGTCTCATGAGCAAAAATTCTACATTGTGAGCTACTGGCATTAAAGTTGTGAGCAAGCAATTTGGCTACTGCATAAATTAGTTTGCTCTGGAACCATCATCCTTCCTGAGCTAAGACAAAAATGTGTGAGCCGGAGACTAAAAAAACTGTGAGCTAGCTCACACTAACTCAGCTTAGAGGGAACACTGGACTCCCAAATGTGGTGCCCATGGATACCATAGTGCCCACCAACACTTTTCCTGGTGCCCAAGTGTTTTCAGGAAGTGAGTGGGGCCAAGTAGGGCTTTTGCCCAGCAAGGCTTCCAATTGACTTGGAGATTTGATTGGCTGTACAGATTTTTTTTAAATAATACCTTGTAGCAGCTGCCACCACAGCACAAGGACCCACACTATATGTCTGAGGTTAAGCTGTGGCAATCATTTTTGGCTGGCTTCGCCTCCCACAGCAGCCATTTTGTGGCAGCCATTTTGTGGCTGTGCCCACCATGCTGAGTCAGAATGCCAAATGTACTCGCAGGTACAAAAAGGTTGGGGACTCCTGGTTCATGGGGTTGCCGTGACTTTACTGCACACTTTACCTTAAAGGAATGGAGTTTTCCCAAAGTAGTCCATGAGTGAACTCACCAACCCTTCTAGCTGTGTGACTCGGAACAGGAGGGGGAAAGATCTGTAATGTTCAACCTCTAGGGTTTTGCTTGACAGGAGTGAGCTTTCTGCTGGAAGTAATGGGAAGAACAAGGATAGCACAATGTGAAAGCCAGTGTCCATCAAGGGGGTCTTGGGACTGATGTTGACCGGCTGCCCTCTTTTCCCTGGAGTCAGGGCTGGAATATCCCTCGGTCTCCTTGTTAGCTCTCATGTCACTTCTTGGCTGGCTCTGCCAGGGCTGGGTGTGCACCTTGATTCCAGCAGCAGAAGCATTAACCTCTCCTCCTGTTGGTTGCAGAGGGAGGAAGCTGAAGCCCGGGCGCGAGAGGAGGCAGAGCGCCAGCGGGTGGAGCGCGAGAAGCATTTCCAGCGGGAGGAGCAAGAGAGGCTTGAGCGGAAGAAGGTAAACTGGCCAGGTCATCCTGATATATGAGGAATCTGGAGTTGGCAGTTAAACTGGGAAAGTCCAGGATGAGTTTTTATTGGGTGGATAGCAAAATAAGTGTGTAGAAAAGCCCAAGAGAAAAAATTATTTTTAAAAAACTGGCATGGTCTCCACTTCAGCATAATTTCTGTAGAAAAGTGACATCGGGTAGCTCAAGTAATTGCTCAAAACTTGGGTTTTGCCATAGATTTTTTGACAATTCCTAGAACTACCCAATATCACGACATAGAAGATGATGTGCCCCCCCCCCCCCCGGGTCCCCCCTTCCCACCCTCCCAATGGTTGCAAGGCATATAGCTTGGTATAATTCCACTACCCACATACCTTGGATTTATACCACTTCTGATTGTCATGGCTTCTCCCAGGGCATCCTGGGAAATGTATTTTGAGGAAGTCCTGAGAAATCTGTTAGAGATCCTTGGCCTCTCTTTCTCTGCCCACTCCTGGGTTGCTAGGTCCCTTTGTCACGCCGGCAGGGGGATTTGGGGGCATTCCCAGGGTGAGCATGAATGTTGCACAATGTGCTGATGCCACCTGGAAGTGACATCAGCCTGTCAGGGGCAACGCTCTGCTTTTTAGGCACAACTCTATGGTAAAAACACTTCCAGGTGATGTCAGTGTGTTCCACACGGCATCAGGGTGGGGGGGGAATTTCCTCCCACCGGCCTGCTCGCCGGTGGTGAGCAAGAGCCCACAAAAGCCCTGTGCCCCCACCTGTGGAATGGTATCCCTACCCCACTCCCTTTACCTGAACTGAAATCCCAAGGATTCCCAGTGAAGAGAGATAATTAATAGTAAGTAGACAATGCCCAGAGAGAAGCAGAACAAGGATGATGATCTCCGCAGAATTACTTGCTGTTTACAACTATTGAGGTCCTGAACTTCATCTGGCAAGTGTAATTTGATAACGACAAAATACTCCAAAGGTTAGGACTTGATAGACCCCCAGTTATTACTCCTGGGTATCTTAAACTTGTACCAATTGTACATGGTGTGTCCTTTAGACATGGCAATTTTCCTTCTCCCAAAGCATTTACAGAAACATATCTGTCTATACTTTAACAGCACACAAAATTTAATAAAGTTATCTAAGTGCAGAATACAAAAATTGAAGGTCCAAAAGTAATCTTATTTTAACAAAGTTTCCAGGTAATGCTTTCGTTTCCAAGGTCTTCATCAGAGGACCAATTATAACTGTATAAAACATTAATTCAATAGTTACAAAAGGTTACAAAAAGAGTTATAAATATTTTTACATTTTTAATATTTATAATATTTTTAACATTTTTTAAAAAATTAGCAAGGATTTTCAACATCTATCAGTTTTTAATTTTACAATTTTTATAAATTTTATAAATTTTGTACACAGTGTTTTACCTGCACAATTGTTTTCTTTCCTAAAGTCTGTCAAGACTAGTCAAGTAAGGTTGGAAAATCTATAACAAGGATCATAAGGATTATGCTGGAAAATCAGTGCTCTAAATGGAGTGGTACACCTACTGGCCCTATTCTGGCTACAGCCCAGAGTGTTACCAGAATTTGCGCCCTTTCTTTTCTTTTTTATGCCTCCCGTAGGGGATTTTTTATTGCATTATCTATAAACTACAACAAAATTTGGGAGGGGGGTCTACAAACTATAGGAGAAGGTAAAGAAAACCCACTAAAAACCCAAGAGATGGTTGTCATGCACACTGCTTAACAAGTTAGCTTTTAACTCCATGTTCGATTCAAGTCCATTGAATGTGGTCATCTAGTAATCAATTTAAACTAAGATAAAAGTTTAAATATCACTGCTTCTGACTTCTTAAAAAGCAAAGTAAGAAATAATTATAACAATACATTGTGATTTCAGAGTGCAATAACATCTCATTTTTTATACTTTTTCTTTCTCAAATGATAGCTTGTCTTCGAGGCTGCTGCCCCCAATTTAGAGTCTGGGTCCTCATCTGAAGATGCCACTGCTCCCTCTTCTTCACTTTCTCTGTTGCTGTCCTCTTCCTCCATTTCTACTTCTCCTGCGGGACAACTATGTTGATGCAAAAATTAATGTGCCTTTTCAACAGAGTCGATTTTTTCTTTCTTGTCCATAAATTTAAAGATTGCGCCTTCGGGTACAATCCATCTGTAGGGGATGTTGTTCTTCTGTAGAAATAATACCAAGTCTCTATATTTTCTTCTTTTCCTTCTTATTTCAAACAGGATGTCCTTCAACACTTTTATTTCTTTGTCTTTGATTTTCAAGGTAGATCTATTTATCGCTTTGAGGATTTGATCTCTCACTTGTCTTCTGGAGAATCTTATTATAACTTCCCCTGGCAGATTATTCTTTCTTGTAAATTCTGGATACGACCTATAGATCGTATCAATTTCGCTTTGCAGTATATCCGTTTTTATATCTGCCATAGGGCCTAATAGATCACACATAGTCTGTTTCAGATTCTCGCCCTTTTCTTCCGGAACACCTTGAAATCTTAAGACATAGCTTGCTCTCTCCATTTGCAGCTGTAACACATGAGACTCCTCCATCAGTCTCTTTTTTTCCATCGCCTGCAGTTGTTTTTTAAGCTTCTTAGTATTGGCATCCACCTCTTTCACTTCTTGTTCCGTTTTTTCTGTTTTTTTGGCTATCTCAGTTAATTGGGTTTGCTGTGCATTGAACTTTTGATGCAGTGCCGTGACTTGTTCCAGCAGAGGGTGCAGTGCTTCCATCAGCATCTTTTGCAGCTCTGTAGTTGTGTCCTGTCTAGGCACAGAACTCACTGGGCTGGCAGTTCCGGCAAGAAGCTTAGGTTTCACATGCTTGTCTTTCTCATCCTTCCTCATGGGAGCCATGTTTGGGAAATTGTTTACTTTTTGTAAAAAGTTATCACATACTCTTATATCAGTCTGGTAAGTTCTTAAATGCTTTTTATTTCCGTCCATCTTGCTTCATTAGCCCACCCCCCTTTTTGTAATAGCTCAAAGTTCGCTTAGTTTTTTTTAGCAGGGAAGAGTTCCCTCCCCCCCCTCACTTTCAAAGGGGAGGTTTTCGGCTCAATCTTCTGTGTTTTTCGCTTAAACGTTAACTCACATTTCAACGATAAATCCGCTTTCATTTTCAATTCACTCAGCCACCAAATGCTTTTTCCGGTGTGCGATTTCTAATTCCCATTCGGGACGCTCCGCAGCAGGACCTTCGGGGCATGGAGAAGCCCCCCTTCGCTGGCAGGGTCGGCAGAAGAAGAGCTCTCTAGCACCCCATGGCTGGGAGCCCAACATGAGGGCTCCGGGGGTGGTGCGGACCGTCGTGCCCCCTCCCAACCGCGGGCTCTGGCGGTCGTCTCCCGGAGCTCCGGGAGAAAGCGGCCGCCATGGCGAACACCATGCAATAAATATTATAAGGCATATCTCAGAGTGAAGGTCAGGTAAGCGTAACTTCATAATTTTTGGAGCTTCTTCAATTTTTGCATTCTGCACTTAGATAACTTTATTAAATTTTGTGTGCTGTTAAAGTATAGACAGATATGTTTGTGTAAATACTTTGAGTATTATTATAGCGTCACACAGAGCTTTGTTTCTTTTCTGCTCTTCAAGTTGGCAGCTGTGGTTCTTTCAAGTTTTCTTCTCCCTGCAGCGGCTGGAGGAGATCATGAAGAGGACGCGGAAAGCAGATGGAGCTGATGCCAAAGTGAGTGGTCCCCACCCCATCTCATCATTATTCTCTTCCTGTAGCGCAGCATCCACAAAAGATGTAGTGGTGACTTGCGCTGATGTCGAATGTTTTGATGTGGTGGAAGACATTTTGGTGCCCCTCCTCACCAATTATCACAGGGCACAAACCATCCTAGTGTTCATGCACAACTTCCATATGTTTTGTGGGGCATACTTGCAGGTGGGTTGGGCCCTGGGATCAGGTTTGCCAGTCTCCCACGCTGCTTAACCTTATTGGTACCCAAAATTCAATTTGAGGTAACAGCTTTATCTTGCCTCGTGGTAACGTTGCGCCTCAGAGATTTTGGCAGCTCTCCAAGGCAGGGGTCCTTCCTCTTTCTCAAGAGCAGGCTAGGCTATGCCTGAGCTCCCTCATACATTAGTACCCAACCTGCTTACTCCCTGGCCTCTGGGAGTGGTTGCCAGGCAGGTCAAATGTACTTACAGGTGGCTTGTGTTTTTCACAGAAGAAGGAAGACAAGAAAATGGTGAATGGGAAGAAAGGGAAACAAGAGGCCGGACTCAGTATAGGTAAGAGTTGCCTCCATCACATCTGGTTGCTCTTTGCAGCAGCTGCAATAACCTTTGAAACAAAACCAGGACTGACTGAGAAATCCAAGTCCCTCTTTGGCAGAAGAGGCCAGCATGGTATAGTGGTTAAGAGTGTCTGGCTAGGATCTGGGAAGCCCCAATTTTGTCATGGAAGCTTGCTGGGCGACCTTGGGCCAGACACACACTCTCAGCGTAGCCTACCCCACAGGGTCGTTGTGAGGACTAAGTGGAGGAGGGGAGAATGATTTTGTAAACTGCTCTTGAGTTCCCATTGAGGGGGGAAGCAGATTGTAAACATCTACATCAGGGGTGTCGAAGTCAATTGTTACAAGGGCCGGATCTGACATGAATGGGACTTTGTCAGGCCAGGCCATGTGTGTCATAAAATGTAATGCCAGGCACCATAGATATAAACTTTATAAAGGATGCAGACAAACACAAAGACATTATTTTTTTTACTTAAAACACAAACATGCTTAAAAGCCTGGTCCTTTTAACTGGAGATACCACAGAAGAAACCTGGGACTCTCTGCATGCCAAGCAGCAGATGTTGCCACCCAGATAATGGGAGTGGGGAATAAGAGTGGAAGATACTAAAGAGTGGGGGGGGGGGAGAGCAAGGAGAGCCAGGAAGAGGAGGAGGAGGTAGCAGGAGGAAATGAGTGGAGCAGGGTGAGAGGGAACAAAGTGGAATCACAGGGGGATGCAGACAGTGTGAGTGGGGGGAGCAAGGGAGCAGATTCAGTGGAAATAACCCCCCCCATCTACCATCCAACTAGAGAAGCCCAGCACTGAAACAAGGGCCAAGGCTAAGCCAAGTCCCACAGCATGCTACACTGGAAACAAAAGCAAGGGAGCAGATTCAGTGGAAATCCCCCCCCCCCATCCACCTCCATCCTTATGGAAACCAAGATACTTAAAGCCAAATCAGCTTTGCAATTCTAACTAGAGACCCCCACCCACCCCCTGCTGCCCCCACATGAGCCCCTCTGGTCTCTACCTGGACTTGGAGTCCTGCAGGCTGCACACCGGTGGAGGGAGGAATGGAAACTGGAAATGCAGCAGCACAAAAACGAGGGGGTAATTCTAATCTACAAACCCCAGCCAGCCAGCCCCACAGAGGATACTCCTCCAAGACTGGCGGCTGCTGCTGAGCTGCTGAAGGTGGCAGAAGCTGGGCTGCGCTGCCGGGTCCGACGGTCCAATGGAGGAGGAGCTATGGCCCAGGGCTGTGCAGGACAGGCAGAAAGGCTCACATGCTCTCTGCTGCTGTAGTTTGCAAGGAGGAGGAAGTGGCAGCGTGGCTTAGCTAAGCTTGTATTTGGCGGGCTGTTTGCTTAGAGCCCGCCCACTGTTCCAAAAGCCCAGTGAGAGGCAGGGTAAGGCAGCCAATGGTCCATGGTCAGGGCCGGGACTCAGGCTCCGCTCCTCTTTCTGTTTTGTCCCCTCGTCCTGCTCTTCTCCTGAGTCCTGACTGTGTGACGTGGTGCTCGATCGGGGGGGCGGGGCAGCTGAGGATCGGGGGAGGGTCCCATTAACATTGCAGGGGGGCCAGGCCCTGCGGGCCCCGCACTAGCTACGGGCCTGCCAGCCAATGTTAAAACATGATGAATTTCAGTTGCAAAATAGGCACCTTATAACTGAAACAGAAAATTGGGGGCGGGGGTTTTGAACCAAAGCCAGTTGCCTAACCACCACCCCATTGCTCAAGTTGGGGGCCACAGAGAGGAGGGGATAAGGGGGGAGGGTCCAGGTTGAACAGAATGTCAGGTTCCACAGCCAGCAATCGAGTACACACTTATCAGAAAGGTTATACTTTATTGCAGATCTATAGATGCATTAACAAAGTCACTGTTAAGAATGGCATCGCCCCTACAAGCATAATGGGATATAGGGTATTCGTATGCACACACACACACACACCCTTAGGCCAATTAGCCACATTCCCGTGCATGGGAGAAGGAGCCCCAGGCCGTTAGAGCCGAAGCTGAGAACCGAAAGCGCTCCCACGGTTCCCTGAAGTCCAAACAACTCACACCACCTGCAAGGCCATAGATAAGCAAGCGTTACAGAAGCAAAGAAAGAATGCAGCGATACTTGAGACACCCCCAACCCTTATGACAGCATAGCTGACATTCTGCCCTCTCAAAAATCAGCTTCTCCCGTCCACCCCGGGAGGCCCCCCCGGTCATTCCGGGAGATTTCCCGGTTTGTCCGGGAAGTCGTTATGGAACTTCCGCAGCAACCGAGGGGCCCGAATAGGTTGTGCTGAATCCAAGGTCCCCTAGGATAGCTGCCTGGCTTTGGCTGCTGCCCTGGATGCAGAAGTCTTCCAGGGCACCTGACAGCCCCCTTTCCTGTGTTCCCAGATGGTGAGAAGCGGCCTGGAAGCCTCCCCAAGGAAGAAGAGCTGCCCGAGATGCAGGCCTCAAGCCCTGCTGGTCGCAAAGTGCTGCCTCCCGAAGGAACACAACACAGGTACCATGTCTGTGAGAGGCAGCATACTCTGAATTGGGGTGTGTGTGATCCAAATGGTACTGGGGTAGCATGGTTGCACTTTGTCAGGTCCCCCTTCCACGCCACTAACATAATGTAGGAATGCACAAATCATGTGGGGTAGGAGATCGTGCAGCAAGGATCCTCAGAGGCTAGAGAGTTGTGTGTGTGTGTGTGTGGGGGGGAGATCTGAGTTGCCACTCTTCCCACAGGGATCCTACAGCCTTGTTCTGGTGTAAATGGAATGGTGTCATAAAATGGGGGGGGGGGCAAGAGTGCCCCCAACAAATACTGTAACTCAACTTGCTTTGAGTCTCAGCCCTTGCAAAGGATCGGCTCCCTTGTTTTAGCCAGTTCACACTGTCTCCTTGGGACAGAGCAAGATTAGCCTGAGTTTCTCCTGAAGGTGGGGCGTAAGCTAAAGGCCTTTGGCCTACAGGATGTCTCCATCAGCCCTTTCCTGACATGTATTAAGATGTGGGGCTCTTGTGTTTCCATGATCCTTGCTGATGCTCTGGAGAATGGCAGCCAGACTGTTCCTATAAGCAGCAGAATCTGCCCATAGATGATGGAAGGGTGCTGGGATGGGCTTCAAATGCCAGTGAGATGAGTCCTTCTGCTGAGAGCTTATGGGCAGATACAGAAGCTGCAGTACAGATGAAGATGAGTTAGTCTGTCTGTAGCGAGAGAAAAGAGTAAGAGTCCAATAGCACCTTAGAGACTAACAACATTTATGGCAGGGTATTATCTGAATGGTATGTATCTGCAGCTGAAGAAGTGAGCAGTGACCCACAAAAGCTCATACCCTACCACAAATTTTGGTAGTCTTTAAGGTTTGGTGTAGTGGTTAATCTGGGAGACTCTAATCTGGGAGAACCGGGTTTGATTTCCCACTCCTCCACTTGCACCTGGCTGGATGACCTTGGGCAAGCCGTAGTTCTGATAAGAGCTGTTTTTGAAAAAGAGCAGTTTCTGTCAAGAGCTCTCTCAGCCCCACCTGCCTCACAAGGTGTCTGTTGTGGGGAGCGGAAGGGAAAGGAGTTTGTAAGCCGCTCTGAGACACCTTTGGGTAGTGATGGGCGGGGTATAAATCCAATCTCTTCTTCTTCTTCTACTGCAGTACAGAGGTTATCTAGTAATTTTTCAAGGCATATGGAGTAGGAAAAGTGAGTTTTCAACTTAACATTTATTTAAAATACTTATTTACCCTCCTTTGTCCTGGGCATCCCAAGAGCCAAGGCTAGTTTCAGATGGATAAAGCATATCCTCTCATAAAGATGGAGAAAGTCATAGCAGGATATTTACAGGGCAATCTCAAGCAAAGTTAAACCTTTGCAAGTCCATTCAGTGGATTTAGAAGGGTGTCACTCAGCTTAGGACGGGACTGTTAATGACAAACACAGGAGACTGATTTTCTCTCGTTTGGGAAGAAGACAGCAGGGTCTTCTTATGCCCTTTTCCCCAGAACTGTGTGGGGTTATAAGCAAGCACAGAATTTCATGTTGGGTACAGACTTCAGTCCCCCCCCCCCACACTTGTCCTTAAAAAAAACAAGTTACCAGTCCCTGTGGTTGCAGACAGGCTTGAACATTGTGTATGTATCTGTGTGGAGCAGATTTTGAGTAGTCAGGAGAACTTTGCATAGCTCTTTGCTCTACCCTACGTGCAAATGAGACCCAGCATGGTGTAGAGCTTAGAATGCTGGACTAGGAACTGGGAGAACCAGGATTGAATCCCGTTTGCCCTGGAAGCTTGGGCCAGTCACACACTCTCAGCCTAACCTACCTCACGGGGTTGTTGTGAAGATAAAATGGAGGAAAGGAGAATTATGTTAGCCACCTTGCGTTCCTATTGGGGAGAAAGGTGGGGTATAAATGAGGTCAACAAATAAATAAAGGTGGCAAATGTATGATACCATCACTGATGAAGAACATTAAATTGCCATGCAGTGGTTTCACACACAGCCTCACATTCTCCTTCCTTAGATTCAGGCCTGAGAAGATTCATGGAGGATAAGTCTATCAGTGGCTACTGGCCACGGTGACTGAGGGGAACCTCCACATTCAGAGCCAGGAGGCAACATCAGGGGAAGGTGTCAGCCTCCATGTCCCGTTGTTGGCCCTCCAGAGAAACTGGTTGGCCATTGTGTGATAGCAAAATACAAGGGGGAGCAGTATGACAATGTCAAAACATGAAAGAAATACTGCAACAGTGCATATAATGAAAGATGTTATAATGCGATGTATAATCACTTCATGATGTTTATTCTTTTCACAACAGGACGTCAACAGACGGTCAATGAAGGACGAACTTCCCCAGAGCCACCGCTCGTTTCGAACTCTCCCTTTCACACAACGGTCTCAGTTCCGAATCCATACATCACGAGACCTTTAGTAATAAACTCTTTCCAGTTCAATCAAAATTTCAAAAGCTCTTGGCAACAGAATGAATAAGTCAGGCGAACAAGATTGAACTGGAAAGAGTTTATTACTAAAGGTCTCGTGATGTATGGATTCGGAACTGAGACCGTTGTGTGAAAGGGAGAGTTCGAAACGAGCGGTGGCTCTGGGGAAGTTCGTCCTTCATTGACCGTATGTTGACGTCCTGTTGTGAAAAGAATAAACATCATGAAGTGATTATACATCGCATTATAACATCTTTCATTATATGCACTGTTGCAGTATTTCTTTCATGTTTTGGCCATTGTGTGAGACAGAATGCTGGACTAGATGGACTGTTGGTTTGATCCAGCAGGGCTGTTGTTATGTTCTTAAGTCTGAAATCCAGAGCTCTCATCTGTGGCTGACATGACCATGTGACCCTTTCCCCCACTTCTCCCCTGCAGCTCCCCTGTGATCCCTGCTCTCTCCCTGGTGAACGGTCTGCAGACCGGAAAGCATGAGAACGAGTTTTCCTCCACCAAGGAGCCCAGTGGCCGGGAGCACTCCACAAGCCCCGGATTGGGCATGGCCGGAGAGGCCATTCTGCCTTTTGCCAACAAGGAGCCTTTCCTCACCAAGGCCCCGCAGGTCACAGGTAAGATACTGTCCCATGTCCATCCCAAGACCTGAACACAAAGCATGAGCTCGGTTGCTGAGCTGTAGTCCCCTCCTGTCTGACCAGGGAGTTGTATGGCAGGCAATGGGACTAGTTTCTGGGGGTCATCCGATTCCTACAGGAGGATGCTGGTCTATCATGCTGGTATTCTGGCCTGAACACAGGCAGGTCCCTCTGATCAGGAGTCCCAGGAGTACAAGAACTGGTGCTCCAGGCTCAAGCTCCGTTTACTTGTTTTATTTACTTAGTGTATTGTTTCCAGTCCAGAAAAAAGACAGACGAGGGAAAACATGATAGACGTTTATAAAATTATACATAGGGTGGAGAAAAAGTGGATGGAGGGAGGATTTTCCCTCTGTTTCCTAGAATACTAGAACTCAGTCATCCAATGAGGTTAGTGGGCAATCGATTCAGAATGGACAAAAGGACTTTGTTGCTTAACAAATAAAGTTACGCTTTGGAATTCACTGCCGGTGGACACAGACATGGCTGTGAGCACAGATGGCTTTAAAAGGGGGTTATGGAGGGGAGGCCCCATCAATGGCTACCAGCCATGGTGAAGAAAAGGGATTTCCATATCCAGAGGCAGTGAACCTCTGAATACCTGTGTGTTACGAGGCAGTGTTAGGGGGGAGGTCTTGGCCTCTGTGCCCCCACTGTGTGAGACAGGATGCTGGGCTAGATGGACCACTAGTCCGATCCAGCAGGGCTCTTCTTGTGTTCTTACCTGCCATTCTTGGTGAGACTTGAGACAAATTACTGACTAAAACCAGAGCTATTTTTGGGCAGGAACGCACAGGAATGGAGTTCCGGCTGGCTCCCAAGTTTGCCACGCCCAGGAGGAACTCATTAGCATAATAGGCCACACCCAACAGCAGAAACTCATTAGGATTAGGGGTGTGTGGCCTAACATGCAAAGGAGTTCCTGCTACAAAAAAAAGCCCTGGGTTTTGACAACAAACAAGGTAAACAGAATAAGAAGCAAAAGGTGGGTGTGGCTGGATGACCACACTTCTGGTAACATGTGGGGGCGGCCTAATGTGCTAATGAGCTGTGCTGTCAGGGGGGTGGCCCAATATGCTAATGAGTTCCTGCTGTTGGGTGTGGCCTGTTATGCTAATGAGTTCCTGCTGGGCTTTCTCTACAAAAAGAGCCCTGACTAAAACCATGCAATCAGAGCAACAGAGGACTACCATAAACTATGTAATACAAATTAGAGAGTAGTACACTAAAAACTGCCCTGACCTGGAAGACCCAAGCTAGTTCGATCTTGTCAGACCTTGGAAGCTAAGCAGGATCGGCCCTGGTTAGTCCTTGGATGGGAGACCACCAAGGAGGTACAGGGTAGCTGCGCAGAGGCAGGCGATGGCAAAACCACCTCTGTTCATCTCTTGCCTTGAAACTAAATGGAAATGCCTCGAAAGCCTGACAGCGTTGCCATAAATGGGCTGTGACTTGATGACGCTTTCAACGATCATACCAAAAACCTTACAAACAGTATAACTGTCAGATCTTGGGTCCAAGTCCTCTCGCAACTCTCTCGAGGTAGCAAGATTTGTTTATTGAGAGTTGCAGGTCATCCAAGCACATACAGAGTTCGTGTTGGAACTGTCGGGCCCAGGCTAGGGCCAAACCTGGTTCCCCAAGTGCCCAGTCATCCATTCTCATATGGCCCGCCAAAGCTTCAAGCTCAAACCCATGGCTCGTTATATTATCTATGCTGCAAGGCTACAAGCTCTAGGCCAGCAAAGCAAAGGTTCATACACTCACTCCCAAAGAATGCTCATAAACAAAAGCAGTGGGGAAAATCAGAGAGGAGGAAAGGAGTTAACTCTTGATGTAGCGGAACATGGAACACAACCCATGACAAGTGAGGCACGAGCTTGACAATAGTACAACAAACAATGAATGAGAACTGGAGAACAAAATCCAGAGAAACGGAAAAACAGTATAACGTAAGCAACGGACATCTGTAGGCCTGAATCGATTGGTCTTCTGCCTCAAAGGGCCCCTGAAGCAATTTCTCTGCAACGGTTTACCAGACGGATGATAGAGGGAAAAAATATAAATAGAAGGCGAAACCAGATGTCATTTCAGCAGTTCAGTTTTAAAATGCAATCTGGAAATTAACCAGAATTCTCCCTGTGAGTGGGCCCAGATGGGCCTCTTTAAGAAGTTGATTCTAAAGCTCACAGTGCCACCCAGGCCCATAGCCAGGATTTATGTGGGGGGGGGGGGGGGGGCTTTCAATTTCTCAGGGGACACCTCAGCCAAGCCATGAGCCTCCTCTGTGGGACAACACAGGCAAGAAGGTGGAAGGAAGCCACCCATGACTCCCGACGGGACAAGTGGCCGGCGGAATGCGACCCCCCCCCTCCCCTCCAGGGCTGTGATTGTTTCCTGGCACCATGCAGCGCGCAAAGGCAGCCTTGCCCTGAAAACCGCCCCTCTCTACTCCCAGCACCGCCGCCCTTTTGCACTGGCCAGAGCGTTGTTGGGGCGGAGCTCCGGGGAGGAAATTCTGCGCCTAATAATCCTTTGTGCACTTGTAACCCTTTGCGGGGTTGCAGGACTGCCTCCTCATCCCTGCTGTCCAGCCTCCCCACTCCAGTACGATAGGTGAGGGACTCCCTCTTCCTCCCCCCCCCCCCGGCCCCCCCCCCGGCCACGCTGCTCTTTCACATGCCCTTCCAGCCCCAAATTTGCCCTGGCTGGACCTCTTCCTTCCTCCTCCTCCTCATTCTTCCCGGCATCAGAAAGTGAAGTGGATCAGCTGCAAATAGCCCCGTCCGTCTTTGTTTCGATTGTATTACTTCCTGCTACCGGAATACACAAACGGGGTGTGTGGGCGGGGGGCGGGGGGAAGTTCCTTGTTCACAGAAATTGCTGAGAACCAAATTTAATTTTAAAAGGGGGGCTTCCCCAGCCTGGACTTCTCTCCCCTCAGCCGACTCACTTACTCTGTAGGTAGGCGGGAAGGGAAGGCGGTAGAGGAGCGCGCCGCTGCACTCATTGGCTTGAAGAGCTCCCAGCCAGCCACTTGCCCTGGCGGGTGGCACAGACGCCTCTCCCGCAGCCGTGGGGGAGGGCAAGGAGAAGCAGCGAAAAAGTCTTGGGGCCTTTGAAGAAAGTCGGGGGGCCCGCCCCCAAATGCCCCACTGTAGCTACGGGCCTGGTGCCACCACTAAGCGGAGCTTGCCATGAGCCCTGTGTGATCTTTGGTAATGAGCACTGATGGGGGCAGAGGCAAAGGCTTCTCGACTGATCTCCAAGAACAGGGAACCTCATATGAGTGACGATATTCCCACTGAGAAAACTGGCCTGGTCTGGCTTTTTGTTTTTTTAAGGCTAACACCTGAAATCAGTCATGGCCGGATTCTAGGCACAATCTCAGCCTAACTTCACAGTCTAGATGGGTTCTATCTGCACCCCTTCAAGCCTCTGATTGTTTTTATCTCTCTCTTTCTCTTCCAGAAGTTCTGTAAACAGTGATGCCCCCTCTCCCTCCCCCAAAGGACGGGTGCAACCATGTGCCAACCTGCAGGCTTAGATCTAACCGGACGATCAGCCAGATGCTCCCCAACCTACAAGGACCGAGGAGGCCTAGGGAGCCAGGCTGGCTAGGGATGGCCCAGCCCCACAGACTCTCTCTCTTCCTCTCTTTCTCTCCGTCTCTCGCTCTTTTCTTTGTTTTTATTCTTATTTTTAATATGCACCTTATCAGACTGATTCCCTACTCATATTTTATCCCACAAGACTATATAACCGCATAGGTATTTAACTGGTTGGGTACAAAAGGATGTGAATAATGTACATAAAAGCTCAGTGTTAACACGGATTGCGCCGGCAGTATCACTGGTGGGGTCTTGCTGCCCCCCCCCCAACATGTGTTTGCAGTAGATTCCTTTGGGACGACTTTTTTTTCTTCCAGATGCAGGCTGGGTCATAGCTGAGGGAGACAGGATCTTGGCGTTGGGCTGGGGTCCCTGTGTGTGTGTGTGTGTGTGTGTGTGTTACAGCCAGTGCAAAAGCAGGCAAGTCTGGAGCTGTCATTTAAACTCTTGGCCTTTGGTCTCAGCCAGGATACCTGGAGAGTTTTGTGTGTCCACGTGCACCATAAGCCACTCGACTGCCATTGTTCAACACACTGTGCTTTTATTGGGTGCTGCTCTTTTCTGCGTGCGTGTGTGTCTGCGTGTGTGATGGCTGGGACACGTCATGCTGGGTGTCATTGTGACAGTATTATACATCTGAACAACCACCTTTTATGGACAATAAAGATAACAAACGATTGTGGCTGTCTCTTCTTTTGGGCTGAACATTTGGAATGGAGATGTCCATTTCCTGCCTCTTGCCATCAGGCCCATTCTCACCATGATGTCAGTCGTACCCCCATCATTTGGAGCTGTGAAGTAGTTTTAATGCTTCCAGTCCCGGGAGAGTTGGGGCTAAAGCTGCCAACCTCCAGGCGGGGCCTGGAGATCTCCCAGAATTACCGTTGATCTCTAGACTACAGAGATCAGTGCCTCTGAAGAAATGACTGCTTTGGAGGGTGGGCTCTGTGGCACTGTATCTCACGGATGATCCCCCCCACGATTTATTAATTAAGTTATTCAACTATTTATAGTTTACCTTTCTCACTTGGACGCAAGGTGGATTACACAGAGAATGTCAATACAATTGACGGATGGGATATTTAATAAACAATGTAATGGGATTAGGGTGGTGGAGACAACCTAAAAACAGAAGCAAAGCGTAAGTCTTCACATGACCTATTAAATGATGCAAAAATCCATAGCAGGATCCTACTTTCAACAAGCTAAATACTGTAGTACAGGCCACAGTTCCTAATTTTTTTTTCCTAAGTAACTTTGTGAATTGTTCAGTACAGTGTAAGTCTATTGCCTGCCCAGAAAAGCTCTCTTGAATAATTCAGGTGGGTAGCCTTGTTGGTCTGAAGCAGCAGAACAAAGTTTGAGTCTGGGGCACACTTTAAGACCAATGAGGTTTTATCCTGGGTGTGGCAGAATGGGCCTGCTCCGGCCTGCATGCCCTGTTCCACCCTGCCCTCCAAGGTTTTCCCAACACCTGGAGAGGCTTTTCTTTCTCTCTCGGGTAATCACTGCCACCACCTGACCTTTGTAAGGAATTGCCCGCTGGGAGGGTCAGGACTCCCAGCTTCCCTTCCACGTTCTGAGGCCATGCTTCTGTGTCTCCCGATGCCCAACACCTGGTCACCACAGGGACTGTTTACTGCCTTATGCGCTTCTGGAGGAATAGCCACTTGCCAGCTGCCTGCCTTCCCCTGGTGCTCCTTTTAAAAGAGCAGGAGGTCTATGTGGTACAGAGAACCACTTACCAGCATCCAAAGTTATACAGTGTTTGTTAAAGAGAAAATGTTCACAAGCATATCTTTAGCACAGCACCAGATTCAGCAAGGGATTCAAAGGAGATGGGTAAAACGCAATTCCTCTGTCCCTTTCTCTATACATGCCCTATCAGATGTTAAAATATAGGACAGGCTCCTTAGCTTAGGATGTCATAGATCTCTAGAGATTTTTCACTACCTTGCAGCTTTTTCCAGCTCTTCAGGCCAGCACATGGTTAATGGCCACCACCTCCAGACCTCAGTTAAGAGTTCTGTCTGCTCTGATGGTCAGCACCAAAAGAGACCTTCCCTCTTGCTTCCAGTTTTATCTCCTCTCTATTCCCCACCCAGTAACCAGGTCAGGCCAGGTCAAAGAAGCTTTTCCTGGAGATCTCCAGGAATTCCTTCCTGAAGTCTCTTTTGTATTTAACATCTCCAAATTTCTGTTTCCTGCTTTTGGGGGGGGGGGAGCTTGACCATCCCATTGCCTAGATGTATTGGCATTTGTATGAAGGTGGGCTGAGGTAAGTCTGGAAAGCAACTGAACTGATTTCTTCCTCCCAAGCCTGTTCTCTGCCGAGAGAGAGAAAAAAAATACTTTTAAAACTCAGAGTGAAGGTTTTCCTCATTTCAAACCGCCAAAGAAAAAATGCATTTCTTCACACTCCATATAAGCTTTATTGTGCATGCACATGAAAGCTTACACCCAGAATAAAACTTTGTTTGTCTTAAAGATGCCACTGGACTCAAACTTTGAATAATTCAGTTTTGCATAGGACAAAGTTTGAGTCCAGTGGCCCCTTTAAGACCAGCAAAGTTTAATTCTGAGTATAAGCTTTCATTTACATGCACACTTCATCAGTTTTGCATAGTCTGCAGAACCAAATCTCCAGGGATTTTCCAACACTGAGTTGGCAACCCTAGTTGGGACCAGTGTTCCCTCTAAGCTGAGTTGGTGTGAGCTGGCTCACAGTTTTCTAGCCTCTGGCTCACACATTTTTGCCTTAGCTCAGAAAGGAGGGCTCCAGAGCAAACTGATTTATGCAGAAGCCAAACCGCTCGCTCACAACTTTAATGCCAGTAGCTCACAAAGCAGATTTTTTGCTCACAAGACTCCACAGCTTAGAGGGAACATTGGTTGGGACCAATCATAACTTTTGAATGTGAGGAATTCAGACATTAGAAAGATGGGTGGAGAAGATGCCCCTTGCACATAAAACATAAATATTTTCTATGAGAGGGATGAATGGCCACGTGAAAATAAGCATCCTTGAAATCTAAAGCAGCGAACCATAACTTTAATTGGAGAGACTGAAGGACAACTGGGAGAAACACTATTTGAAACTTTTTAACATATACAGAAGCTTGTTTAACTTTCTCAAATCCAAAATCAGTCTAAAACCACCATCCCTCTTGGACACCACAAAGTATCTGAGAAACAGCTAATCCCATGTTCAGGTGAAGGTGGCTGGACCAGGCCCTTGAGCAAAAGATCTTGCAGGGCCCCTCTCAAAGGCTGAAAGGAGGGAGTGTCCACTGGCGGGGGAGAGTTGCCAGAGGGTTTTTTCTTAAATTTGATCCTATATCCATGTTGGATGATAGCCAACACCCAAGAATCTTCCGTGATGTTGCCCCATTCAATGAAGAAGGGAGCCAGTCTGTCCAGAAAGAAAGACGGGCTAGCCAGCCCTCCCAAATCTAGTTAGAACATGGATTTCTGCCCTTGTTGGATATCTTTCGGACACTGCGACTGAGATGGCCCGTCTTGGATCCCGACATTCTATGCCGAGACTGTGTCTGATGCTGAAAGGAACTCTGGGAAGTGTAACGGTGAGTGTGTAACTGGAGTACCTTGGGGGTTGTTGTAGTAGAGGAGGCTGAGTCCGACAGCAAGGCCTGTGTTGCTGAGGGACTTGAATAGTTACACCCACAGATTTGGCTGTCTGCTTCTTTTAATCTGAGCCAGTGTCATTGTCTTTGTAGAGAACTGGAAGCTCTCAAAAGGCAAATCCTCAACTTTAGCTCTAGTCTCAGGTGGTAGGGCAGTTGATCTTAACCAGGGATGTCAGTGTAGGGTTACAGTAGAAGCTATGGCACATGTAGAACAATCACCAACATGTCTGCTTCCATTCATTTGCTGTTTCAGAAGTCTCACACCTTTTGTATGCAGGACCACAGGTACTTTTTAGCTTCAGGTAGCAGATCAAGGTAGGCTGTTATGCAATCCCACAAAAAGCATTGATATGTTGCCAATAGCTTGGTAGCTGGCTATGTGCATATTGAGAGCAGCAGAGAAGTAGAAACATCAACCAATAGCGCCAAGCTTATGACCTTTCTCTGTTGGGGCAGAATGAGACCACTTAGGAGCATTGGGTGGGGCCTCCTCAGTCACGAAGGAGAAGGGTGCAGGATGAATAAACAAGAATGGGCTATTTTCCAGCTTTATCGTGTACATGTTTTCTATCCTTCATGATGTAGGAGGGATGGAAGATGGCTTCTCGCACACAGCCACGGCCAGATCCAAACTGGGAAGGCAACCAAAGCAGGAGCCTCAGAGTAAAGATAATTCAAAATTTTACTTTTAGGTTTAGGATTGGAGGATCTCACATCCATAGCGAGGGATCTGGCCATTCAGAACATTTATTCAGAGTAGAGGCGCAAGTCCTCATTTGGTGAGCTGCTGGAGTATCCCCTATAGCCTCATCTGGGGACAGGTCTGTCGGAAACTCAGAGCCGAGGTCAGAAGATGGGGTGTCATCCTTCAAATCCGAGCCCTGCAGTGACTGGGGAGTGGGCTGAGGCAGGGTTGGAGCAGCATGGGGCTTCTTCAGAACCGAGGGAAGGTCAGACTGAGCCAATGGTACTTCTCCCTTGGAACGGTAGTCCTCCAGTTCCTGCAGGTGAGGGGAAGGAGTATGGAGGGAGGCAAGATGGTATGGCCCTTCTCTTCCACTACGGTCAGATCCATCAGAGGTGCTAGAATCAAAGCGCTCGATTCCTGATCCATATCCTCTGATGTCTTGGAAGTCTTATGTGAATGCTTAGACTTGGATTTCTTTAGAGGTAGTTCCAACACCACTGACTTGAGGCCGGAACTGTTGATCGGGACCGACAGGTAGGATTGGACGGTGGGGCCAAATGGAACAAAGAGGTTGATTCTGGCTGTGAAGACCACTCCCACATGGCTTTGCTGCTGGGGTGTCAGGTGGTTAAGGCTTTCCCCCAAAGGACTGCCTTAAGACAAAAAATCCCTATCCAAACAGGCTCTGGAGGTGAAAAGCTGAAAATGGTGACAAGCCCCTACGTTGTGTGATTCCCCCAGGCACAAAAGCACAGAGAATGTTTATCCATCTGTGTCATCTTCATGCCACATTTGTCACACTTCTTGAAGGGGGATCCTTGGGCCACCAGGAAAATGAGAAAAGTCATAGAGAATGAGAAAGAAGAGCTTTGCAGAAAGACATCTTCTCCAAGTGGCAGGAAAGAAGGAACTGAGGGAAATGGCGCCTCTCCCCTAGGTGTGCTATTTTTGGCAGGAAAAAGGAGAGGGGCCCCCCTTCCAGTTTGCTACAGCTAGAAAGTTTTTCTCTGTGGCTGGCCTGTGCATGGGCAGTCCCAATGTGGGACTGCACAGAAGACTGAAAATAAATACAAAGTTTCACGCACAGCCTAAGAAAAATGTACAGTAAAAATCCCGCTGACATCCAGAAGAGCTATGAATTGATTAGATAAACCAGGTACTGCACAGAGCAGGTAACGAAAATCCAGTCAAGGTGCTTTGCATAGAGAAAAAAATGGACTCGAGCAATCCTGTACAAACATGCTGCTTTGTTCTATGGTCATCATTCGGTCAAGATAGTTTCAGGTGGGTAGCCATGACGGTCTGCAGTAGAAGAGCAAGATTCAAGTCCAGTG